GTGGCATCAGTTTGCCTGTCCCCACCCACTGTGACACCGTGCAAGGAAACCTGGATGGAGGGAGGGGAGGTGGGAACTCACCTGCCTGGGCAGCTGGGGGTGTTGGGGAGGGGCTGGATGAGGCCACCACCTTGTCCCCACTGATGCCACCTTGACCCTGTTGCCTTGATCCTGTTTCCATCACCTTGATCCTGTTTCCATCACCTTGACCCTGTTTCCATCCCTTAACTCTGTTCCCGGCACCTTGTCCCTATTGCCATTACCTTGACCCCAATTCCATCATCTTGGCCCCATTTCCGTGACCATGTCCCTGCTGCCATCCCCTTCTCCCCACTGATGCCACCTCATGCCCATTTCCGTCCCCTTCTCCCCATCTCCATCCCCTTCTCCCCACTGGTGCCACCTCATCCCCACTGCCACTGCCTCCCCACACCCTCCCTCACCAGTGTCCCAGCACATCCCTGGGCTCCTCCACGCCTCACTTTCCTTCTCCCAACACCAAACCAGCCCCAGGAGGGAGGCAGGAGCCAAGGGGACACCGCTGATCCCACGGGAGACGGGCAGGGGGTGCAGGGAAGAGGGGCCGGCGGGTGAGGTGGGGGCGAGGGCCCCGCGCTAAGGATGTTTGTTTTGCCTGTTTTGCAGAGCTCCAATGTTCTGACTCGCTCTAAGATGAAGGTATGGAAGTTTGCAGCCATTGCATCGATGCTCCTCAGTTCCGTGTTATCCATTTTGGTTTGTAGAGACATGTTCAGCGGGAGCCGGGAATTCAGCCCCTCGTCTTCCTCGCCACCTTCCTCCTCTTCCTCCTCTCCCTCCTCGCTGCCGGCGGCTCCACGGAGATCCCCACGGGCCCTGCAACGCCACGGCTCTCTGCTCTCCCAGTGTAAGCTCCTGCAGCCCCATCCTGGGGTCATTGCCCCCCCCGATCCCACAGTTTTCCCTCAAAACCCATCCAACCATCCCCTTTCCCAGGATTTAAAGGGGAATTTGGGGCAACAGGGCACCAAACCTTGGTGTGAACAGCTCTGCACGGAGGGGAACTGAAACAGCTCATCTTGCTGCAAAGAACCTGCTTTTTTTTCTTTTTTTCTTTCACTCCAAATGGCTTTGTTTGGGGGAATTTAATTTTTTTTTTTATTTCCGTGCTATTTTTCACAAATGGAAAATGTCAAACAGGAGCTGAGGACGAGGGGACCGGCAGCGGCTCCCCCTCCGCTCCCTGAGGGCTGGAAACCTCCACGTGTTTGTTTGGATTCCAAACCAGAGGAACAGCTTTCTTTTTTTTTCTTTTTTTTTTTTTTTTTTTGGGTGGAAATTTGGAAATCAATGACAAGCTGTCAAGTGGAGCTTTCCTCTGTCTTCCCTGTGCCTCCCGTGGAGCTCAGCTGGATAAAGCCTGGATTTAGGGTTGGGACAAAGGGATGTGGGTGTTGCCAGCAGTGACTGGGGACAGTTGGTGTGTTGGCTGCTGGTCTTGGGGTCTTGGAGGGGCAGCTCTTCCCCCTCCTCAACCAGAGTGAAACGGTTCAAATGGGAAATTTATTGGTGTTTCTCCCCGAATCCACCTGCCCCAAGGGATCTCCATCCTTGGGGACATCCTCCCAGCACCAGGGAATTTCCATCTCTGGGGCATGTCCTCCCACCCCAGGGAACCTTTGTCCTGGGGGATGTTATCCCGTCTCAGGGCATCTCCACCCTGGGGAGGAGGGTTCAGCAACCCCAGGGGATCTCCATCCCCAGGGACATCCATCCATCCACCCCAAGGGAGCTCCATCCTAGGGAATGTCCACCCACCCTAGGAAATCTCCATCCTGGGGGACATCCATCTCCTCCAAAGGACCTCTATCCTGGAGGATCCTAAGATCCTGATCCATAGAGGATCCTAACGCCCTCATCCATAGAGGGTCCTAAGATCCTGATCCATAGAGGATCTTAACATCCTGATCCATAGAGGATCCTCACACCCTCATCCATAGAGGATCCTCACATCCTCATCCATAGAGGATCCTCACACCCTCATCCATAGAGGATCCTCCCATCTCCATCCTGCAGGACATCCATCCACCCACCCCAAGGCACCTCCACCCGGGGGGTTCATCCTCCCAATCCCCAGGAAATCCCCAATCCCTGCTCTAACAATCCCTCTTCCCCTTGCAGACAGCGGCCTGCTGGAGAGCTACACCGAGGGGGAGATCCGGCAGCTGATCTCGGCGCTGGTGGAGCGCTACAGCCAGGCCATGAACTCGGGGGGCCACGAGCTGCCGCTCTTCCCGCGGGCGGCCGGGGGCCGCCGCAAGCGCGCCCGCGCCCGCCACAAACCCTGCGAGCTGCGGGAGCTGGAGGTGAGCGTCAGCGAGCTGGGCCTGGGCTACGAGTCGGACGAGACGGTGCTTTTCCGCTACTGCAGCGGCACCTGCGAGGCCGCCGTGCGCAGCTACGACCTGTCGCTGAAGAGCATGAGGAGCCGCCGGCGCATCAGGAGGGAGAAGGTGCGGGCGCGGCCCTGCTGTCGCCCGCTGGCCTACGACGACGACGTGTCCTTCCTGGACGCCTACAACCGCTACTACACCGTCAACGAGCTCTCGGCCAAGGAGTGCGGCTGCGTCTGAGGCGCCCGGGGACGCCCCACCAGGAGACGGGGGAGGGAGAGGTGATACCCCCAGTGCCCGGAGCTCGGGGACGGTGGGAAGAGCGGGATGGAGCGGCTGGAGGAGGAGGAGGAGGAGGAGGAGGAGGAGGGACTGAGCCGCTGGCGCATCCTTGGCGTCGCCATCCCGAGGACTAAGGACACGGCTGGCAGTGCTGGCGAAGATTATCGGGGCGGGGGGGGGCTGTTGTCACCTCCAGAGGGTCCTTGTGAGCCCCTCCAGGGGTGGCCCAAGGGTTCTTGTCGCCCCCCCTGCCAGAGGTGAGAGCGGGTGTGCGACGTGCACAGGGCGCGTCCCACGCCCAGGCATTTTATGTGCCACCCGTGTCGCACCTGCTGGTCGTGTGACCTGCCTGGGCTGTCACGAGGCAGGTGTCCCCTGCACGGGGTGGCCCCCACGTGCCAGGGGTTCCGTGTGGGGTGTGCAGCACGTGCTGGTGTTGTGACGGCGAGCAGGGGGTGGTGTGGGGGTGTTGCTGCCTGTGGAGTAGTGCCGGTGGTGTGTGGGGCTGGAACGGGCTGTGCTGCCCACACAGAGAGTGTTTTGGGGTGTCCAGTACACACACCGTGTGTTTTGGGGTGTCCAGAACACACGCAGTGAGTGTTTTGGGGTGTGCTGAACACACACTGTGTGTTTTGGGATGTGTTGCACACACAGCGAGTGTTTTGGGGTGCATTCCAGGTTCAGAGTGTGTCACACAGCTACAGGTGCCCTGAACCCTGCACTCTGCAGCTAGTGGGTGTTTCCCAGAGTTTTTTGACCTCCCTTCTCTGCCCAGGGACAATTCAGCCCCCAAATCCCCACGTCTGGGGGCAGAGGAGCACCCACAGCGGTTTGTTAGAGGCTCTGGCTCCGCTCGTGCCCCTTTTGCCATCGTCTCATTCCCACAGCCCTGGGGGCTTTGCTTCTTACAACTCGGGATAATCTGAATAACTGGATTAACCTCCCGTGCCCCCGCCACGGGCAGCTGGGCTGGAGCCCAGGGAGGTGGCACAAGCTCACCGGGCCACCAGCAGAGCAGTGGCACTCCCTAGGGCTGGCAGGAGCGTTCCTGGTTTGGCATCTCCCAAAAAATCTGCCCAGCTCTCCCAGGAGTATCCCCCCAGCAGCCGGAATGGTGCAGGAGAGGGGACTGGGGCCTGGCTTTGGCTCCCCTCGCATTTACAGCAGTGTCACTGCTGTTTACTCTGCGGGGAGATAAACGAGCCCGCAGACTTTCGCATCCCCTGGGCAGGCTCGATTTGTTGCCTGGGATTGATGGGGTTTTTTTCTCCCCTTGGCTCCCTTCCCAGAAAAAGCAAATCATAAACAGAAGGAGAATATTGGTGTCATGTCCTGGGCATTAACCAACAGCAAGGGAAAACACTCCGTGTGCAGCTCCCCCCTGTCACGGAGTCATCCCAGCTCCTCACTCCAGAGAAATTGGGGAAGAGGGGGGAGAGAATTCCATGTCCCTTCACCCCAAGGTGGAGAAGGGCTTTGTGTCCATGATCCCAGCAGCCCAGGGATGGTGCTGCAGGATTTAGGGGAGCAGGGGAAGCCATCCCAAGGATGGGATGGGGTGGGATGGGAGAGCTGTGTGTGTGTGTGTGAGCAGCCGCTTTCCCGACCTCCTCAAAAGGGGCAGGATTTAGGGGATCAGGTTGGCATCCCCTGGGATGAGATGGGAGATGAGAGATGGGAGATGGGAGATGGGAGACAGCATCTCCTATGTGTGACCAGCCACATTCCCGACCTCCACAACAGGCCAGGCTGGTGGGTCTATTTTTTTTTCCCCCCCCCTTTTGCTTTTCATCCAAACGTGGCTCTTGGCTGAGCGGAGCCAGGATGTAGTGAGGGAATATAAACACCATCCTTCAGCAGGGCTGGCAGCCTGCACTCTGTAACACCGAGTTTTCCCTGCACTTTGGGAAAAGGAGGAGGCAGCTGAGCCAAGGGAGGTGGGAGGGGTGAAACACCCTCCCCACCAGAGGGGTGAACCTGCATCCCAGGAATGGGAATGTGGTTGAAAGCAGAGACACCCCACACTCCAGGTGCAGGGATATCCCCTGGGTTTGGCTGGAAAGGGAAAAAGGGGCACAAAATAATCAGCTGGAGGATGGGAACGGCAGACGGGCACCGGATCAGCGGCTCGGGACGGATTTTAAGGAAAAAAAAAGCACCCAAATCTAATAATAATAACAATAACAATAACAGGCCTCTCAAGGGCTTGGGCGCTTTCCAGGTCTCGCTGCCATAAAACTAAAATTAGTTTTCTTGCAGAAGCCTCCAGTGAAACAACAAAAAAAACCCAGAAAGGGAACCGGAGCAATAAAGGCAGGGAAGGTGTTGTGGAAGCAGTGCAGGACCCGGCACCTCAGAGGAGCACTTGGAGCAGGAGCTGCCTCTCTCCTCACAGCACCCTGTGCCCAGGGAGGGGGGGAGTGTTTGCACCCTGCTTTGGGACGTTTCTGGGCAGAATTTTGGGATTTAGGGAGCTTTGCTTGGCAGGCACCTGACCAAGGGACCCTCCTCTCGCCAGGGTGGTGGTGGGAGCAGCAGGAAGATGAGGGGATGTGAGAGCAGGTGGAGAAGGCTCAGGGTGGGACATCCCCTCAGGTTCCCCATTCCCAGTACAAATCCAGCTCTAACCCCTAAAAGTTGGGAAGAAAACCTGACTCAAACCAACAGGAATAGCTCCAATCCTTCATTTTTTGCTCTTTTTCCCCCTTGTTGGCACCAGAGGGGACATCCCCCCTCTGCCACACACCGCTCCTGATGCTTTTTTTTTTTTAGGGGGGGAGCAACTGGAGTTTGGAACCACAAAAAATCCCTAATGGGCTCTTGGGGGTGAGCTGGGGCATCGTGGTGTGGCCAAAAGGATGGATTCTGCTTCCGTGTCTTCCTTGGGGCTCCTGCAGCTCCGCCGGTGCCGTCCCACGTCACTGCTCGGCCCTGGAAATGTGGTTCCAATAGGATTCCCTAATGCTTTCCATTTCTCCAGCCCTCTCTGCTGTAATAGGAGCTGGAGCTGTCCAGAAGAATGTCTACAATGCAGAAAGAGGGGGAAAAAAAAAAAAAAAAAAATATGGAAAATTCCCCTCCCCAAAGCTGCAGCAGGATCTCATCTGGCTCCTTCCTCCTCCTCCCACGTGTTATTTCATATTAATATTAATAATAATAATAACAACCCGTGTGCAACATCTGTCAGGGAGGATTTAGGGGGTTGGTTTTTGCCTCTCTGGTGCTGCAGCTTTGCTGTTCCCAGCCCGGGAATCATTTCCTGATTAACCAGCTCCAGGATCCTGCTGGGGAGAAGGGGTTTTCCCGGTTTATCCAGGGAAATTGTGTGTTGGTGGCGTTCAAAGCCTCGGTTTTCTTCCCAGTTGGAAAGAGGGAATGGGGCGGCCACGTGAGACCCTCCTGGGCCTCGGAGGGGAGGAAAGGGAAAAGGGGGGAAAATGGAAATAAAAGGAAAAGAAGATAAAAAGGGGGGAAGAGGAAAGGGAAAAGGAGAGAGGGAAAAAGGGGGAAAGGAAATAAAATGAAAGGAAGGAACAGGGGGAAGAAAAAAGGGTGAGAAGGGGGAAGAGGGAAAAAGGAAAGGAAATGAAAGGAAGGAAAAGGGGGAAAGAAAAATAGGGAAATGAGGAGAAGGGGAAAAGAAAAAAGGGGAGAAGGGGAAAAAGGAAATTAAAAGGAGAAAAAAGGGGAAGAAAAGTAGGAGAAAAGGAAAAAGGTAAGATTTAAAAAGGATAAAAGGAGGGGAGTGGGAAAAAATGAAAAGGGAAAATGAGGGGAAAGGAAAAAGGGGGAAAAGAGAAAAGGGGAAAGAGGAAAAGGAGAAAAAATTAAAAAGGGTTAAGGAAAAGGGAAAATAAAAAAAAAGGAGGGAAAGGAAGAAAGGGGGAAAGGAAAAAAGCGTTAAGAGAAAAAAGGAAATGAAAATAAGGGAAAAGGGAGAAAGGAAAAAAGGGGGAGAGGAAGAAAGGGTAAAGAGAAAAAAAGGGAAAGAAGGGGAAAGGGGGGGGAGAAGAAAAAAGAGGAAAATGCAGAAAAAAGGATAAAAGGGAAAAAAGAAAAAGGGGCAAAAAAGGGAAAAGGCAATTAAAAAAAAAAAAAAAAAGGTAGAAAGGGGGGAAAGGCAAAGAGGAGCCTTTTTCCCGTGCGGAACCCCCTCGGCCCAGCCCCGGATTCTCCCGGATTCTCCCGTTTTCCTGCCGGAATTGTCGGGCCCCGGGGCCCGGCTGCAGAAGTGGATGCAATGCATCTGTATTTTGGATACTCTATTTATTGGAAGTAACTTATGTTATTTATTTGGGCCCCTCCCGCGCCCTTTTGTACGTTATTTATTGACCCCGCGGGGCCGAGGGCAGGTGACTTTTATTGCGTTTGTATCATTTATCCGGAACTTTTGGGAGGGGGAAGGCGGGGGGGAGGGGGGGGAGGATTAATAAATAATAATAATAAAAAAAAACAAAGCTGTTTGATCTTCCTTTTTGTTAAACGATCCCGAACTCGGGGGTGAACTGTTCGAAGTGGAAAGAAAAGGAGGATTCTTCTCCCTGTTCCTGGTTCCCAGGAGGGGAATCAGAGCCGACCTGTTGTTTGAGCCCCATTTTAGCATCGTTTGACCCCATTCCAGAAATTAATAGGATTAAAGGTGCACTGTCCCCATTCAGCACGGGTCACTCCCCCCAGTTAACACCCTATTCCCTCTGTAAAGACCCATCACCTCCATTTAACACATATTTTGGCATTCAAAGCCCAGGGAAATGCCCAAATCCCTTCCTTTAACACATCACCCATCCAGAAAAAATATGGCTTATTTTATTAATCACACAAAAATAGGTTTAAATTACCCCATGCCCACGCAAGAACAGGTATAAATTCCCAGATTTCTTGGGGAAAAAAAACCATTTCAGGCGAAGCCAGGGACCTGGCAGGGCTTGGCACGGGATAACAGGGAACAATCGGAGGGG